ATTATTTTTCCCACAGACCTAATGTTATTAAATTTATGGAATTAATGTCAACCAAAAATGAAAAAATGCTGAAAAAATTATGTATGTTTATTTTAAAAATTTATGATGCTGTCTGTTCTCCTTGATATATTTTCCCCTCTCTTATTTATTTATTTTCTTTTTCAATCATATGTCATGTTTTTTGTTTTGTATATGTACCTCTGACCAGATTGTATATAATGTATATATGTTGTTAATGAACCCCATGTACCAATATTTTGGTTTGGGTGAATAAATTGAACTTGAACTTGGTTACCCTAAAATTTGCATGAGCATTAAGATATGAGAGAGGGAGGGGTGACAAATAATTGTTGGTAATAATCATATATATTATCATTATACATGTATATCATTAACTTTTAATTATTTTTTTCCGAAAAAAATACATTGCTTCAAAATAATAGCTTTATCGTTTTGTTAAATACGAATGAAAACCTAAATCTGCCAAACTGTATCTCTCTATCAAGCCAGATTATGAGGCGGCTGGGTCTTTCAATTTTAAAAATGCTGATTGATGTACACATTTTTCAAAGGAATGGCAATTAATAAAATATGTTATGAATCAGATAAAAAGATTGGCTATAGTTATCTATGAATTCCCATTTGGTAAACAATTTGTTCAAATTTGATTCACAAATTTATGGAGCTTAAGATTTCCAACAGACATCTGCCATATTGTAACGGCAAAATCCAAATTGCAGCGGTCAAGCTTTCAGCGTTATCTAAACAATATAGAGAGAAAATGAGATGTTCATGCTTATTTGTTTCATCTCTCTCTCTCTCTCCTTTCCCGCGTAAATCATGTTTTCATAATTTCTACAATTAAGGACAGATGATACAAGCAAATAAATGGATGCCTGGATTGGTATGTATTTTTGTACTTATTTTGGTCGTAAATGATGCAAATAATATATATATATATATATATATTTTAAAAATATTAAGAAATTGTAAACTTTCTATGATGTTCCAAATTCTTTCTACAACCACCCCTTTAATCTTTACATGTTTTTTTTTTCACCTTAAATCCCACAATTTTGAAACTTTAAGCAAAAATGTCAAATCTGTGATGATTTTCACTGGAAAAAATATTATTGTGTAGAATGTAAGATATAATAATCTTGTCTTTAAAACATTGCTTTGACAAATCAAGGATATAAGAACTGTATTTAAAATCATATGTTAATATCGATAACCTTCTTGGAGAGGACTTATATAGGCCATGCCTGATGTCCAATCCAATTATGTAAACTGACTTTACATAATAAAATACTGATTAAATTAAATTAACTGATGAATTTTCTTCTTTTTTATCATTCAAGATAAAAACATTATTAGACAGTTCTTTTATTTTATTTTTGTGGGTTCAGCTTTTTGATGCTCAGGTGAAAGAATACAAGTGAGTACAGATGTACTCAGTCCAAAATCATGTTGACAAATCCTATATCCGTACAAGGTTGGCGCATTCTGTCGATAAATCGTAAATCCGTGCAGAATGGCACATCCACTGCGAGTTAATTCATGAATGATTCATCTTGTGCAATCTACTTCTGAACATAATTTACACTTTGTCAAAGCTCATCCAATCTAACTTAAAATCTTCGTGATTTTAAATGCTTCACACTCTGGGTGATTTAAAATATGTTTTGGCAAAATCTTTAAAAAACGTAATACAGATTTACAATGTGTACAAGAGTACGGTTACGTAATATGAACTGCGTGGTCTTCTCCCTCTTATCTACGAAAGCCCAGATGGCTTTCGACATCTGAGATCCAAAATTATCCAGTCAAAATATAGGTAAGCATATGTGAAATACGAATTTCAAAATGCGAAATTCAACATTTGAAATTCGAAATGCAAAACTCTACATCAAAGAATCGAGATTTGAAATTAGAAACTTCATCTAATTCTTAAATTACTTTCACATGGTTAAAACATTCACCAATCAGAACGGAAAGCATGGTTCAGTAGTTCAAAGAGATCATTCCGATTATCTTTGACTTCTTTATATACGTAGGTTTTCCTCGAGTGTTCTACATGTATGTTTGTAGGTCCCGTAGAGTTGAATTTTGAAAAGGGGGACTTTCTTAATTGAATATATCAATGAAAAATACTTAAATTTATATTTTAAAAAAAGATTTAATTGTTCAAGAAGCAAAAATACTTTATTTATTATGTTCAATTCCATTTGATTCAAGATGGTTTGTGAGGTAAATTCGTCAATATTTCTTTTGGCAAGTCCTCCCATCCAATTCCCATGCAGCCTACTTCTGTGGACCTGGCTGCATGCAATAATTTACATACACTTTTAGTTGAATAACAAAGATATAGTTTATTGTCCTGTGTCTCATAATTTTGGTTCAAGGTAATTAAGCATTCCATTCGAAATACTCGACCCCTATAATTCTCTCTTGGGGTCAAAATTTTCGTTCCGGTCCGTGTAAGTTTTTTTTCCAGTTTTACCATTGGTTTCGGGTACCTAAATATCCTTTTAATCATATAATCTTTCACAACCATTCGGTGGTTTTTTGTCCATCATTTGGGGGGGATATACAGTAATCAAACATCGGTATATATAGAGAGAGCAGAATTTGAAAGCTGAGTGCAGAGTACAGGTCTTAATTTTCAGCCTTCCAGTGGCCGTTAGTGAGGTAAGAACATGATGATTTTTTTTTTTTTTCCAAAGGGACATTAAGCAAACAAACTTCTATAAAGAAGCAATTTTATGTTCTAAGCACAACCTAAGTGAAGCACAAATTTTGAATGATAATTTATTGCAGCTAAGGCCGGACTCTTTCGAAAGAAACGTAAAACAAACTTATAAAGAAAGTTAACAATTTGATCGTTTAGAGACATAGCATGTTCCCAAAGTGAACTCACAAGTATTTGAATGAGACTTTATTGCAGCCAAGGCCGAAATCAGTATTACAGGAAAACTTGGACCAAGTCTCGGACCGCAGCGAGAAATACCCAAAACACAAATAATGCGATCAACGGGGGATGCATACATGTACATGTACTCCTTCTGGGCACCTTATCCCAGTATCCAAGGATTTTGTCTAGTATTCTTAATTTGTATTGTTCATAACGATTTGTTCGATTGAAATGAAAATAAGAGTAATTATACCCAAATGAAAAAAAATTAATTGCTTTATTCCGGTTAAAAGTGGTCATTTTTGCATCAATTTTATTTTTAGGCACTTACATGTACCTCAATATTTTTTATGTACTCCAAACAAACTTTGTGGTAATCATAGAAAGGATTTATAAACATCTGTATGTCATTATTGTGTAATTATTATTACTATATCATTAATGTGTAATTATTATTATACCATTATTGTGTTTACACAGGTATAAAGCAGAAAAGTTTTCATATGGAGGGTGCTTCCCCCCCCCCTCCTTCATTTTTTGTTGCTGTACGGTCGAACACTGGTAAATTCCAGCATTTGACAAGAAAAATGTACCGAAAAGTTTGAAAAACGTCCACCCCCATCCCCAAGATTTTCGAGTTTAAACAATTTACTTTTCTTTTTTTTTTTTTCTTTTTTTTTTTTTTTTGCTCGTTAAATTTTTGGGAGGGTAAACCCCCCCCCCCCCTCAAAAAAAAAAATAACGTAACATTTCTTTTCGAAAGTGAATAAACTTTGCTTAGTTTGCAATGACTTTAAAAAAAAAAATTAAAGATAATGTAAGAAACTGATTACATGTATTATCATTAATGGATATAAATCATATTATGGTGTTACATGTACACCATAATATGTGAATATATAAATCATATTATGGTATGTGTGTATGGTGTATTACTAAATTTTTTTTAAATGTGAAATATATATATATATATATATATATATATATATATATATATATATATATATATATATATATATATATATATATATATATATATATATATATATATATATATATATATATTTAAATGAAATATATTTTTTAAAAGAAAATTTGTGACTTTATATGTGATGAAATTAAATATTCTCGGCTCTTATAATTTGCGTTATGTTAAATATGTGAGCATGACATATATCCTTTCATGCTTGATTTTTTATATCGATAACAGAGAGTGAGTAATCATCACACGAGTTTACAGGGAGTAATGGAATTCAAGCAAATAATTTTAACACCAAAATCATTGATACTTCAGATTATTCATTGTCAAAATAAGTATTTCTAAAAATAACCCATTCAAAAAAAGATTACCAATGTATCATTTTTTTTCAGATTTTAGAAATGCTTTTTTAAATATATTTTTCAAGCAAAACCACTTGCATTCACTTGTGGTTATTTGCTTCAGATGTATTTGAATTTTTTCTTCTTCTTCAAAAGTACATACTAAATGTTCCTTTATATTGAGATCAGTACGCAGTTAGAGAAATCAACTGTAATATAAAAAGACAGCAACTGAGATCTGAATTAAAGATAAATGTTTTTTTTTTTTCGAACTCGGGTAAGTTTTTGACATTTCTAACATTTTCAAAATCTTACCTGAATATGAAAATATCATAATGTTCTTAAATTTTAGCAATTACACATATATTTCTCAAATTCAGCAGTGGTATTGTGTCAATATATCGCTTTTTATAATTGTACGATCTCTAACCGCCCCATGCACTGTGCAATTTGATGATTATCTACTGCAGAATTGATTTCTAAATGAAAAAAGCTGCGAAGTCTGTCCAGGCAAATATTTTTTTTTTTTTTAAATCCAAGAATAAGTTTCTTTGTTTTTTTTTTTTCGAATTTTTCAATCTCCCGGAATGAATTTTTTTTTAAAAAAAATCACCTGTCACTTCAAAGAAAGAAAAAAAAAGACGATGAAATACAGAGACTTTAATAAATTGCAGGAGGTAAACTTTGAAGCTGTTTGATTGGTTGTTAGGATATGATTTTTCAGTATATAAGTCAATCGTAACTAAGTCATTTACATCGAGAAGAATAGCAGACAAAAGTGGCAATATTCCTTTCAAAGGTAGGCTGCAATTGACAGTTAAAGTTTGTCTAATAATCTGTGTAAACAAATACAATTTGTCAGTAAAACTTTAACGACTTCTATTTCGAGATGACAAACGGTTTTTGATGACGTTTCCATGAGATCTATTGGGAAAAATGAATTGATGTTTGTAAAATCCTGATACTCCTTGATTTACAAAAAATTTGAAAATCATCGATGCAAAACACTTTCAAATATTTTTTAAATGAAATTGCATTATTATTATTATTATTATTATTATTATTATTATTATTATTTAATAGACATGAAGCATTTTTAGGTCACCTGAGTCACTCAGGTAACCTATTGCTATCCGTTTCTATCTGTCGTCATGCGTCGCCCGTCGTTCGTTAGCATTTGAACATTTCCAGCTTCTTCTCTTAAACCGCGCAATCAATTTAAACCAATTATTTGGCATATAGCATCTATGGGTGAAGGGGAACAAAAATTGTGAATTTCATGGTCCCTGCCCCCCTGGTGCCTGAAGGGTGGGGCTAAAACCGCCAAAAATAACGCAATCTTTAAAAATCTTCTTTACTCCTAGACATCAAGCAATCAAACTGTTGGCATTATTGTAAATAAGCATTGAGCCCTCTACCAAAATTGTGAAATTCCTGGCCCCAGGGTCAGGGGTTCTGGTGCTAGGGTGGGGCTATATAGATCATATAGTGAAAGTGCATTATTTCTTTGAAAATCTTCTTCTCTGCTCCTGGGTATTAAATAAACTAACTAAGTATATAGTTATGTTGAGCAAGGCTGCCTTGTCCAGAATTGTGAATTTTATGGCCCCTGGGTCAGGGGTTCTGGTGTAAGGGCGGGGCTCTATTGATTATATAGTGAAAATGCATTTATTCTTTGAAAATCTTCTTCTCTGCTCATGGGTATTAAATAAACTAATCAAGTATATAGTTATGTTGAGCAAGGCTGCCTTTTCATAAAATGTGAATTTCATAGCCCCTGGATCAGGGGTTCTGGTGTTAGGGCGGGCTATATTGATTATATAGTGAAAATGCATCAATTCTTTGAACATCTTCTTCTCTGCTTCTGGGTATTATTTAAACAAAGGAATGCATGGTTATGATAAGCAAGAATGCCTCTCCCAAAATTGTGAAATTCATAGCCCCAGGGTCAGGGGTTCTCGTGAATGGGGGTGGGGGCTCTATTGATTATAGAGTGAAAATTTATAATTTCTTTCAAAATATTTTTTCTACTCCTGGTTATAAAGCAAAAAAAAAAACACAAAAAAAAAAACAAGTATATGGAGGGGAGGGGAGGAGGGGCTCTATTGATTTATTAGTGAAAATTCATACAATTTCTTTCAAAATACTTTTTCTACGTACAAAATTTTTGAAACTTGTGGTCCCAGGGGTTCTGTTGTTTCTCGGGGGAGGGGGGCTCTATTGATAATATAGTGAAAATGTGTGAATTCTTTGAAAATCTTCAAACAGATTGCATAGTTATGATGATGAGGGTCCTCTTCCAAATTTGTAAATTTCATGACCCTGGGTCATGGGTTCTAGTGTTAGGGTAGGGCTGTGTTAAATCTGTAGTGAAAATGCATTATTTTTTTGAAAATCTTCTTTGCTCCTGGGCATATTGGAGGCAAACAGAGTAAAAGTTTTAATAAGCAAGGGAGTTTTTACCAGAATTTTGAACATCTATACCATTTAGTCAAGTTTTCTGAGGCCAATGTGAGAGGTTATAGTATGAGGTTATAAAATAGATATTTTGTTAAACGTCTGCATGGTAATAGTGATAAATGGGGGACAGATAGATTAGATACTAGACCTGGCAATTATTTTGTTGATCTTAATCGTACTATTTCTCTTGCTTTTGGGCAACAAATTTTCAGTTATCAGTTTATGGATCCTCTAAATTGTTGTACTCAGGTGACCCTCAAGGCCCTTGGGCCTCTTGTTTTTCTAAAATTTCTCCCATGCCTAATTGAAATAAAGAGCTTGAAATTGTAATATCTAATTTTAAATCTCTCTCTCTCTCTCTCTCTCTCTCTCTCTCTCTCTCTCTCTCTCTGACAATAATCTTTTAAAAGTAGTTGTTTTTGAAACTTAAAAGATTTTCCTTTTTATGAATCACAGATGTCATCGAGAATAGTGTTGGGTGTCATTTTTCTCGTCCTTATAGCTTCCTTGGTAGTCAGTGCAGGTACATATTATTTTTTAATAATAATAAATTTCGAATTGATGTGCAATACAGTGTGTGTATTAATGGAGCGTCATTTTATGGTATTTTAGCGAATCAGATACATTTACAAAAGCGAGCAGCGAACACTTCAGCACCGGCGCCTTCAGGCCCCACCACTGCAAGACCAGATAGCGGAGTGAGTTTTATTACGCCCTACCTGACTGTCACTTACACCATGTCTTTGATATCCCTTTTTGTCTTGCTTATGAGGAATTTACTTCTGTTTTAAAAGTTCTTGGAACAACTGCCAAGAAATTACTATGATGAGAGATGAATAATATCTCTCGGAGTGCATGTTCATTACTTGTGTTAAATGTATTTATGCTTGTAGCTATAAATGGTATACGTCAATTTTTTTTTTTCTTCACTCTCTGTAAAGTAAATTTCCTTTCATTGAAAAATATGAGAATCATATTTTCAATAATAAAGTTGGTAAAAAATACTATTTGGGTTTTTTTTATTATTATTATTTTTGGCATATAAATATATTAATAATTGTACGTGATGTACGTGATTACTAGTATTTTTGCCGAGATGCGGGGAGGGTGTTATTAAGAACGGCAATGAAAAATCTAATATTTTACAGAGAACTAGCAAGTAGCTGACTGAATCCAATTGCTTTACAGGTAAATGCATGTAACTTTGTTCGAAATCTATTTAAAATCGTCACAAGTGACGTCACCGTTTTGTTTGAGCGCCCCATTATTTTTCTGCAATGGAGAGTTGCAAGCAACTCACATGGAAAACACAATTTTTTTTCAGGTAAAGTCCTCTCCCCCGTAGCTCTTTTGGTGGTAAACTTGTTAGAATTTAGCAAAATGCATAAGGTTTATTAAAATCAAATAGGAAAACTGTTGCGAATTTTGGAATCGAGCCTGGTACCATTTTCACCTGACTCGGGCGCATGCTCTCCACAGTGAGGTACAATGTACCGTAACTGAGTTGACAGAGTATTCAACAAATTTTGCAACAGTGTCTTTTACCATAAAGGAACCTATATAAAATTAAAAGCTCTTTACATGCCTAACAAAAACAGAATAAAACACATCCATATCATATAGGCAAACAGTTATCAGGGGAATTCTATAAAGCGGATTTTAAATCTCAATCTCAAATCTTTCGATTCCCCACAATCAATTGTCATAGTACTTTTTTTCAGTCGTCACCCATCGTGCGTCGCCGGCGTCCACCGAGCGTCGCTCGTGAACTTTTGAACATTTTAAGCTTCTTGTTCTGGGACCCCTAAGTCAATTCCAACCCATTAAGTATCTGTAGATAGCATCTATGAGAAAAGGAAACATTACTTGTGAATTTCAAAGTCTCAACCTACGGAAGCGTAATAGGGCCGCAGTAGTATCTTTTATTAATTTGTTTTAACAAATTACTAATTTGTTATTACAGATTACTAATTTGTTTTAACAAATTACTAATTTGTTATAAATTATCAATTTGTTAAAAATAAATTATCAATTTGTTTTAACAAATTATCAATTTGTTATAACAAATTACTAATTTGTTATATCAAATTGATAATTTGTTATATCAAATTAACAATTTGTTGTAAGAAATTACTAATTTGTTATAACAGATTATTAATTTGTTATTACAGTTTACTAATTTGCTATAACAAGTTACTTATTTGATATAACAAATTATCAATTTGATATAACCAATTATAAATTTGTTATAACAAATTATTAATTTGTTATAACAGATTAGTAATTTGTTATAACATTCATTCATTCATTCATTCATACTTTATTTCCACTTTACAGTGATTAATGAACATTATACAAAAAAAAAATATATGCAAAAAGAATAACATACAAGTACAAAATACGTATCATATTCGTACTCAAGAGAAAGTGAAATGCATATGTACATTTATAGAAAAATGAAATATTTACGCAAGTTGTGACCACAAGCTAGTGGCCATTATTTATGTATGCACATCATGTCTAAATGTCTCTATATGATATCACAAAAGGATCACAGATATAAAAAAAGGGGGGACTGAAAAAAGGTTTTGGGAGGCGTCCCTCACTGGCAGATCTCCAGTACTGAAAGACTACTCTTGTAGTATGCACAGGCATCGCAAACAAGACGAAAGTTTCGCAACTGGAAGTTCCGGAGGTGGGAGGCGGAAAGAATGGTGTTCGGCTTGCGGCCTAGTAGAATCAGGTAGAGTTTGTCATCTGTAAGGGTACATAATTCAACACACAACCGAATATCAAAGAAGTTGGTAACATCCTCCCACCATTGATTACGGATACCATATGTGAAGCGGCATGAGCAAGAGACGTGGTTAAACAAATCAACATATATAGCACCACAAAGGGAGCAAATTTCGAGAGTTACTCTGGGAGATTCTGACACCAACTTGCAGATGAACTTGCATAGAGAAATTTCGTAACAGTTGGAAGGTAATCGCCAAAACAACGCAGGGTTACTTTCCTAAAATATATTACGGAAACGGTCGAATCCTGAATCACCTGACATACGATTATCCCTCTGGAGTTAATTGTATTGAAAGGTTGCAGATCTCACTATCCGTTTCCAAGATGACTTTGACTTTGACTCCAACCGAAAGCCACTCTTTCATATATTCACAGAGGTTATAAATACATAACAAATTCAAAATGTCAGGAATAAAGCCTAGCTGTTTTTGAGCGATTCCCTCAAAGTATGAAAAAAGCCTCGTTAAGAATATTTTCTTTGACAGAGTTTTGAATTCCAGGCAACACAGACGGCCAAGAAATAGTAGCTTCCTTGTATCAATCTCAGCTTGTATCGGAAGAACTTCAAAAAAAAGATAACGTAACATTTCTTTTCGAAAGTGAATAAACTTTGCTTACTTTGCAATAACTTTTTTTTTTTATTTTTTTTTTAAAAAGATAATGTAAGAAACTGATTACATGTATTATCATTAATAGATATAAATCATATTATGGTGTATTACTGAATTTTTTTAAATGTGAAATATAATTAAAAAAAAAAATGAAATATATATTTAGAAGAAAAATTGTGTCTTTATATGTGATGAAATTAAATATTCTCGGCTCTAATAATTTTCGTTATGTTAAATATGTGAGCATGACATATATACTTTCATGCTTAATTTTTTTCATGTCGATAACAGAGAGTGAGTAATCATTACACGAGTTTACAGGGAGTAATGGAATTCAAGCAAATAATTTTAACATCAAAATTATTTATACGTCAGATTATTCATTGTCAAAATAAGCATTTATAAAAAAAAAAAAAAAAAAAAAAAAAAAAAAAAAAAAACATTGAAAAAAAGAATACCAATGTATCATTTTTTAAAGATTTTAGAAATGCTTTTTTTAATACTTGTATTAGTACTCGTATGTACTTGTGGTTATTTGCTTCAGATGTATTTGAATTTTTTTTTTTCTTCTTCAAAAGTACATACTAAATGTTCCTTTATATTGAGATCAGTACGCAGTTAGAGAAATCAACTGTAATTTAAAAAGACAGCCACTGAGATCTGAATTAAAGATAAATGTTATTTTTTCGAACTCGGGTAAGTTTTTGACATTTCTAGCATTTTCAAAATCTTACCTGAATATGAAAATATCAAAATGTTCTTAAATTTTAGCAATTACACATATACGTATTTCTCAAAGATTCGGCAGTGGTATTGTGTCAGTATGTCGCTTTTTATAATTGGACGATCTCTAACCGCCTCATGCACTGTGCAATATGATGATTATCTACTGCAGAATTGATTTCTAAATGAAAAAAGCTGCGAAGTCTGTCCAGGCAAATATTTTTTTTTTTTTTAATCCAAGAATAAGTTTCTTTCTTTTAATCGAATTTTTCAATCTCCCGGAATGAATTTAAAAAAAAAAAAACCTGTTACTTCAAAGAAAGACAAAAAGACTATGAAATACAGAGACTTTGATAAATTGCAGGAGGTAAACTTTGAAGCTGTTTGATTGGTTGTTAGGATATGAATTTTCAGTATATAAGTCAATCGTAACCAAGTCATTTACATCGAGAAGAAAAGCAGACAAAAGTGGCAATATTCCTTTCAAAGGTAGGCTGCAATTGACAGTTAAAGTTTGTCTAATAATCTGTGTAAACAAATACAATTTGTCATTAAAACTTTAACGATTTCTATTTCGAGATGACAAACTGACAAACGGTTTTTGATGACGTTTCCATGAGATCTATTGGGAAAAATGAATTGATGTTTGTAAAATCCTGATACTCCTTGATTTACAAAAAATTTGAAAATCATGGATGCAAAACACTTTCAAATATTTTTTTAATGAAATTTCATTATTATTATTATTATTAAGGTCTTCCGTTTCCAACGGAAGACCTTCTACTGATTCTGTTGTTTCTTTTCCACTATTATTAAGGTCTTTCGTCTTCAGCGGAAGACCTTCTTGTTATTCTTCAGTTTCTTTTCCGCTGTTTTTCTTATTATTTTTTTTCTTACCGATTTTGTGCACGCGATTTCTCGAAAACGGTTCGTTCGATTTTCATGAAACTTTTAGGTCTGATAGAACATTAAAAAATCTTGATACATATTTTTTTATTTTGATGACGTCACTTCCGGTCCGAAGATTTTTGCGATTTAATGATTTTTGGAAGGTCAGTTTGTCCGCAGGTTTTCTAAGAAAGCACTCATCACAGGAACGTGAAACTTTTAGCGAAGACAGACCAACATATGTAGATCTGTAATACGTAGTTAACTTTCACCGGAAGTGCCACACGTCGACGCTCGCTATGGCCTGAAAAAAGACATATCGAGATTTTCAAATTTTCGAACAATTTCTGTACGATATCTTTTTACTTGGAAATATTTTGTTAAAACATATATAACAAAATTTGTGCAGAATTACAAGTTCTTTTAAATAATATCTCGGAAAAAGGGCTGGTCCCTAAAATAAAGAATCTAAAGGGGCCAAAATATTTTTCCAGCTATCTCAAAAAGTATTGAGAATTTGTAATACTTCAAAGAAGAAAAGTTGTTCAACATGACAAGTAGCAGCTTGCGAGATCATCAAAATGCGTCGAATGACGTCACTTCCGGCCAAACAGGAAGTAGTAGAAAATTGCTTATTTTCACAGATATTGGTACATGTATTGAATTGAATTATGCATGTCACAGAGGACGTCTGATTGTATTTCCTGTCGAGTATCGTCTCTTTTGTCAACTTCCGGCTAAACCGGAAGTAACTTTAAATGACGTATTTCTGCAGATATCAACATAAAATCAAATGATTGAATTCAACCAAGACTTTTGACCCAATTTTTCTGTCGATTGGGGTCACTTCCGGTCAAACCGGAAGTAGTCTTGATTTGCTTCATTTACCGAAAATCAGCATAAAAATCATAAAAACTAAATACAGATCGACATAATTTTTGGTCTGGAGGCCTTTTTTTAACGAATACTTTACTTTCATTTATCCATTTTACAAGCAGTGCTTCTGAAAATCGGACGGAAGACCTACTCGTTGCTTTGCAACGAGCTTTGCTCTAGTTATTATTATTTTTTTTCTTACCGATTTTGTGCAGACGATTTCTCGAGAACGCCTGGATAGATTTTCACGAAACTTTCAGCAATGATGGCAAATTATCTGAACTTTATGCGTTTTTTTTTATTTTGTCGACGTCACTTCCGGTCGCGAGATATGGCCAATTTTTCATTTTTAAAATGGCATTTTGTCCGCGAGTGTTCTCAAAAACGGTTAGAGATTGAGTCTTGAAACTTTCAGGGATGATAGATTGTGATTCGTAGATTTGAGAAACTTGTATAGTTTTTGTTGCCGTGACGTCCGTTGTCCAACGGAAGTAGTTTAAAAATATGCAATTTTTCATTTTTTTCTTATTGAAATGTTTTTAATAGAGGCAAATAGAATGTTTCGAGTGATATTATTTCCACCAGAAGTTATTTCTTCCGAAAGTAGTCGAACCGGAAGTAGTCGAAAAAATGCACATTTTTCCTCAAAACTTTGAGGGATGATTCCTCCACACTCAGTGAGGAGTTTTGAGTACTTCCGGTCATACCGGAAGTGAATAAAAAAGACCGGAAGTTGTTTGAAATTCATAGATTTCACTCTTTTATGAGTTGCCAAACAATTTTGAAGAACTGTATGAATATTTTTTACATTTAAAGTTGTTTTTCTTTCTTTTATCAATCAAAATTTCCCAATCAAGATTTTATCAGAAATTTAACGGAAGACCTACTCGTTGCTCGCAACGAGATCTCATCTAGTTATTATTATTATTTAATAGACATGAAGCATTTTTAGGTCACCTGAGTCACTCAGGTGACCTATTGCTATCCGTTTCTGTCTGTCGTCATGCGTCGTCCGTCGTGCGTTAGCATTTGAACATTTTCAGCTTCTTCTCTTAAACCGCGCAACCAATTTAAACCAATTTTTTGGCATATAGCCTCTATGGGTGAAGGGGAATACAAATTGTGAATTTCATGGTCCCTGCCCCTCTGGTGCCTGAAGGGTGGGGCTAAAACCGCCAAAAATAACGCAATCTTTAAAAATCTTCTTTACTCCTGGACATCAAGCAATCAAACTGTTGGCATTATTGTAAATAAGCATTGAGCCCTCTACCAAAATTGTTAAATTCATGGCCCCAGGGTCAGGGGTTCTGGTACTAGGGTGGGACTATGTAGATCATATAGTGAAAGTGCATTATTTCTTTGAAAATCTTCTTCTCTGCTCCTGGGTATTAAATAAACTAACAAAGTATATAGTTATGTTGAGCAAGGCCGTCTTGTCCAGAATTGTGAATTTCATAGCCCCTGGATCAGGGGTTCTGGTGTAAGGGCGGGCTATATTGATTATATAGTGAAAATGCATCAAATCTTTGAGCATCTTCTTCTCTGCTTCTGGGTATTATTTAAGCAAAGGAATGCATGGTTATGATAAGCAAGAATGCCCCTTCCAAAATTGTGAAATTCATGTCCCCAGGGTCAGGGGTTCTCGTGAAGGGGTGGGGGCTCTATTGATTATAGAGTGAAAATTTATAATTTCTTTCAAAATATTTTTTTCTACTCCTGGTTATAAAGCAAAGAAACAAGTGCATGTATATGGAGGGGGGGGGGGGCTCTATTGATTATATAGTGAAAATTCATACAATTTCTTTCAAAATACTTTCTCTACTCCTGGTTATAAAGCAAAGAAACAAGTATATAGCTATGATGAGCAAGGATGCCTTTACAAAATTTTTGAAACTTGTGGTCCCAGGGGTTTTGTTGTATCTCGGGGGAGGGAGGGGGCTCTATTGATAATATAGTGAAACTATGTGAATTCTTTGAAAATCTTCAACAGATTGCATAGTTATGATGATGAGGGTCCTCTTCCAAATTTGTAAATTTTATGACCCTGGGTCATGGGTTCTAGTGTTAGGGTAGGGCTGTGTTAAATCTGTAGTGAAAATGCATTACTTTTTTTGAAAATCTTCTTTGCTCCTGGGCATATTGGAGGCAAACAGAGTAAAAGTTTTAAGAAGCAGGGGAGTTTTTACCAGAAATTTGAACATCTAAACCATTTAGTCAAGTTTTCTGAGGCCAATATGAGAGGTTATAGTATGAGGTTATAAAATAGATATTTTGTTAAACGTCTGCATAGTAATAGTGATAAATGTGGGACAGATAGATCAGATACTAGACCTGGCAATTATTTTGATCTTAATCGTACTATTTCTCTTGCTTTTGGGCAACAAATTTTCAGTTATCAGTTTATGGATCCTCTAAATTGTTGTACTCAGGTGACCCTTAAGGCCCTTGGGCCTCTTGTTTTTCTAAAATTTCTCCCATGCGTAATTGAAATAAAGAGCTTGAAATTATAACATCTAATTTTAAATCTCTCTCTCTCTCTCTCTCTCTCTCTCTCTCTCTCTCTCTCTCTGACAATAATCTTTTAGAAGTAGTTGTTTTTGAAACTTAAAAGATTTTCCTTTTTATGAATCACAGATGTCATCGAGAATAGTGTTGGGTGTCATTTTTCTCGTCCTTATAGCTTCCTTGGTAGTCAGTGCAGATACATATTATTTTTTAATAATAATAAATTTCGAATTAATGTGCAATACAGTGTGTGTATTAATGGAGAGTCATTTTATGGTATTTTAGCGAATCAGATACATTTACAAAAGCGAGCAGCGAACACTACAACACCGGCGCCTTGATGTCCTACCACTGCAAGACCAGATAACGGAGTGGGTTTTATTACGCCCTACCTGACTGTCACTTACACCATGTCTTTGATATCCCTTTTTGTCTTGCTTATGAGGAATTTACTTTTGTTTTAAAAGTTATTGGAACAACTGCCAAGAAATTACTATGATGAGAGATGAATAATATCTCTCGGAGTGCATGTTCTTTACTTGTGTTATTTATGCTTGTAGCTATAAATGGTATACGTCAATTTTTTTTTTCACTCTCTGTAAAGTAAATTTCCTTTCATTGAAAAATATGAGAATCATATTTTCAATAATAAAGTTGATAAAAAATACTATTTGTTTTTTTATTAGAATTTTTGTGAATAAGTATACACGTAATAATAATTGTACAGGATGTACGTGATTACTAGTATTTTTGCCGAGATGCGGGGAGGGTGTTATTAAGAACGGCAATGAAAAACCTAATATTTTACAGAGAACTGGCAAGTAGCTGACTGAATCCAATTGCTTTACAGGTAAATGCATGTAACTTTATTCGAAATCTATTTAAAATCGTCACAAGTGACGTCACCGTTTTGTTTGAGCGCCCCATTATTTTTCTGCAATGGGGAGTTGCAAGCAACTCACAAGGAAACACAATTTTTTCAGGAAAAGTCCCCTCCCCCGTAGCTCTTTTGGTGGTAAACTTGTTAGAATTTAGCAAAATACTATAAGGTTTTTTAAAATCAAATAGGAAAACTGTTGCGAATTTTGGAATTGAGCCTGGTACCATTTTCATCTGACTCGGGCGCATGCTCTCCACAATGAGCTACCGTAACTGAGTTGAAACGGTATTCAACAAACTTCGCAACAGTTTCTTTAACCGTGCTGGAACCTATATAAAATTACAAGCTCTTTGCATGCCTAACAAAAACAGAATAAAACATGTCCATATCATATAGGCAAACAGTTCTCAGGGGAATTTTATAAAGCGGATTTTAAATCTAAATCTCATATCTTTCGATTCTTTACAATCAAGTGTCATAATATTTTTTTTTTCAGTCGTCACCCATCGTGCGTCGCCGGCGTCCACCGAGCGTCGGTCGTGAACTATTGAACATTTTAAGCTTTTTGTTCTGGGACTTTATGCTAAAGAGAGATAACTCTGAATAATTGTTATATTTTAGATCCCTTGTAATTGACAGGAAGTTTGAAAAATAAATAAATGGCCGAATCAGTAAATCAGTAAATTATTACATGTTCAGTGAGCTAACTAGTTAAACCCGATGTTTATCATATATTGAACACTACAATCCTCTTGAATATTCTTGAGTTCATGAATTCATTGTGCATGCTACGACATGTTTATCTGAAAATTTAATAAAGGATCTTTAAGGTAGATGGTGTTAATAATTTCCATTTAAAATTAGCTACATGTCATTAAGACTAAAACGATTTATATTCTGTAAAATTTTTTACTGTTTTCTTTTATAAATAAAACCAAGTGCGTGAATTTCTTCAAAATTTTATCGCGTTTTCTCAGATAAAATCCAGAACATATACTTCACCAGAGAGCAGCAGTCATTTTGAATTGAGTTGCAACACGTGATCACATTGACATGTAGGCCCCTATGCATCATAGGCGCAACGTCCATGCGATCAGCAGGATATTAGGGTATCGCTGGAGTTGATCATCAAAAATATCCATCCTTCCATTCTTACAAAGTTTCTACCACTTGAACACTTTGGTACTAGATACGTGTAAGCCATCCCCAGCAACATCTAAAACATTTTAGTTTCTTCCGGTCATTTTCCTGTCTGCACACATAATTTTTTAATAGCTCGGTGCTCCAAGACGTTCAATGACTTTACCATTTTTTTTTTTTTTGGCTTTGTTTTTACGCATTGATCATCTATAATTAGTGGTAAAACAGTCATAACTCCTCGAATTTAATTCAAAATTTCGCCAAATGACGTTTCATGAATATTTTAGCGAGAGCTGAAATACCATAAATCTTTATGCGCTACAATTACCTTAAAATTTACAGAAACATTTGCTTATGTGAGATAATGTACCTCCTACACGCATATAAAATTTTTCTCACATGAGCAAAAGTATGTCTCCAATGTGTATATATACATCATTTTCAATAGTAAGTACAGTGTATGTGTTTTAATAATCATATTTAATAAGATAATTAAAACAACTATAAGTGCACGCTTAGATTACAAACATGAAAAAGTGTACTCAGTAAGAAACAAGAACTTAAACATTTTTGTGCTATACTAGAGAGAAAATCACAAACATTACAGTTTTACAGTATCTGCTGTTATTACACAAACATTACAGTCTTACAGTATCTGCTGTTATTACACAAATATTACAGTCTTACAGTATCAGTTGTTCTTACACAAACATTACAGTCTTACAGTATCTACTGTTATTACACAAACATTACAGTCTTACAGTATCTGCTGTTATTACACAAACATTACAGTCTTACAGTATCTGCTGTTATTACACAAACATTACAGTCTTACAGTATCTGCTGTTATTACACAAACATTACAGTCTTACAGTATCTACTGTTATTACACAAACATTACAGTCTTGCAGTATCTACTGTTATTACACAAGCATTACAGTCTTACAGTATCTGCTGTTATTACACAAGCATCGAAGTTCTGGTTTTATACAAAATTACACTCGTAAGGAATAAACAGATTGGTACCACCATTTTGCCATATTGTCGCAGAGCACCATGGGTATAAATTGCAAGTGTCATTAAAGCTGCGAATATTAAATATACACCTCTCTCTATTTCTGGTAAAGGCGTGAAAAGAGCAATGGAACTCAGTGTTTCTATGGCGCCTATCACTATCATATATGCATATGGAGGGGGTCTGTATCCTATGAATGCTGTGGGACACACCGTAGCACAAATATCAAATCTCGCAGACTGAAAATAAGATACAAACTAAAATGTAAATATTTACTGTGTTATCCTGATTTCAATTTAACAAAATGCTACTTTGGCCTGGAAATAAGGGTTTATACTAAAGTGATAAGTATTTACAAGAAACTGAGGGGTTTATTATATTTTTTATCACCGTTTCCCCACAAACTTCCCATTCTCCACTAGCGAACTTGTAGTGGAAGTATTATCTGTAGTCATATTGTCTAATGTTTAATGGTAGATTGTTTAAAATGAATATTTTATTAGGAAATGTTGTTCAATGCAAAGTTTAACAACATACAGGAAAATTATCAATGGGAACTTAGAAATTAAACTTAACAAAGAGATAAATATTCTGTATCTCATTGTTATCAACCAGCTGGTAATTTTTTTTTTTTCATATTTCAATGAATGCAAATTTAATGATTTAGTTATTCTGAAGGTTAGTTATTATTTTGAAAAAAAAATGACTAGAAACAGTAGATCCATACCGCTTGTTGGTGTTCTTTTGGAAATAATCGGCTTATTTTGACCAACCCGGCCTTCAAGAAAATAAACGCCAGAATCCATGATAATACATACACTACACCTCCAACAGCGTCCATATTTTATATGAAGAGGTCTATATCAATCGTTTTAACTTATATAGTCTATCCCAGTATATCCTGTTTATAAAAAGGATCATTGTGAGAAGCTTACATAATTATAGCATAAAAGACATGACTATACATACATGTATATTCAAGGTTAACTTGCTAGAGGTCTTAGACTAATAAATATATTAGCTTAAACTGTTTAATACACAATTATTAAAAATTTAATCTATTTAAAGTTTAATCAATATTTTTACACTGTAGCTGATAAGACAATTACATATGCATAAAAAAATACTGTTAACTTACTTTTTATTTGTTTTATGAAGTATGGCAGCGATGTACAGTGTATAGCTCTATGTCCTGTGACAATTCCATTTCAAGGTAAACCGTCCAGGTGTCCCGTGACTCGCCTAAGGTTACGAGGATCCTCTATCATTCTCGTTATACCAGTTATTATTAGACCAGGTGCGACGGCTTTTTTAAATTAAAATTCTTAATGATTTAAGATTATTTCTATTTTTAATGAGGATTATATTGTGTTCTAGTTATTAATTCTATACATGTATGATAATAAAATAGATTACTTTATTGAAATCAAATTTACATATAATATGCATAAAACGTGGATTGACACTCTATTCCACAAATTTACATTATCCTTCTTTCAAAAGAATTCATCTGAAATTTGTGTACAAATGCTGCTGAAGTAGTGTAACGTGTTCTCTTATGACGTATGGATCCCTCAGTTACTAAACTGAGACCGAGACTCAAAAATAATACAAACTTAACATATTAAATAGATCGCCTGCCAAAATATACAGATACGGCGAACGTATGTACAAAAATAATCGCCTGCAAAATATACAAATAAGGCGAAACGAGTTCCTCTCGTGAAAAATAAAAATGATTACCCTTAATTACTTAACTAACTAATTACTAATAAAATCACTATCAAAAGTATTAACTAAGATTTACAAACCTATATACAAAATTATATGACTTAAAATGAGTTCTCAACAGATGAATACTCAGCTACTCAGCACTTTTATTTATAAACACTAATTAAAATACACTATGTCCACCGAGGACTAGTCGAGCTGTCCCCTCGAGAGTAAGGATACTTGATCCACGTTCTCTTATGGGAAACTGTCGGCTTACCTATGAAGCTCTGTACACAACCTTCTGCTTCTAAGGCCAAACTAACACTGAATGTGCTGACGCTAGCGGTATGACGCTTATATACCCTCAGAGCGGAAGTCAACGTAACTTGCCAACTAAGGGCGCCAAATTCAAACTTAGTAACATCATTTACATTACAGTAGTTTGATTTTTTATTTAATTATATGTTATGAATCGAAGGTTTCTAAAAGAAAAAAACAGATCTGGGATCATTAAAAGCATATAGTCACATAAATGATATGATTTTTTTTAAAGAGGGTGTTGCAGTTCTTTTATTATTTTCCCTAACGGTGTAGCAGTTTAAAAGAAAAAATTTAGGTAACAGAAAACGGTCTTAATTTTTTTCAGATACAACGGTATATACAGCACAATGTAGAACAATATTTAGAAAATGCATATCGACTTCCAATTTGACATTAAATGTAAATTAGTCACATAGCAATATGTCAAGTTTTCTGTTTTTCAAATAGGGAATCACCATTGTTCTGAAAAATTGCCTCCATTAAACAGAATAATTTTGATATACGCATAAAGAGACAGGATTTTTCTTCAAAACAGCCATTTCCGATTTTTGTTTCAAAGAGGAATATTTTTGAAAATTACAAAAATCGAATAAAAATTATTATCCATCTGAATTGCAAAATGTGTACATAAAATAGCACATGTTACTTCATTGTCGGAGCTGGTCTAGTGGTAAAAAGTGTGGACTCTGTACAAAAGATTCTTTTTTACCTGAGAATGGGTTCGAATCCTGGAATGGCTGGTATATATATATACATATTTTTTTTCTTATACATGTATAATGGAAGTACAATGTAACATCTCTCTTGCGAGAGAAAGAGAGAGGGAGATGTGACATATCTGAAGTACAAATTATCTAATATTAATCATGGTCAGTCAGTTGTTTAACTTTATCATTGTCTTACATATCTATCATATATAAAAAGCATGTAATTGAAGCTGAATAAATCATTGCTAGCGCTCTCGAGCGCTAGCAACTACGTTAGTCTATATTTCTGAAATACGCATGCTCGACTTCACGGTCGGGGATTCTGGGAAAACTACTGTACATAGACTGTACGATAACAATTTCGTTTTGTCATACAAAAATAGAAATGATCCGAATTTACACTGGCCTTTCCTGTCTGATATGTACGATATACATTTCGTAGGTTAGAGACAGTCAATACCAGTCTAGATCCGGATTCTGAATTTTTTAAAATTTATTGTCTAACCTACACATAAAAGTACAAGAAAAAATTTGGCCATATAATGCCAAGATTCTAGACATCTAGCTTCCCTTACAGTTTTACCACCTTAGTGGATAATTCCGACAAGCTCGGAAAAAACAACAACAACAACAACAATCTTTTTCAGAGTATGTCGGAAAGACATGTCAATTTAGTGTTTATCATCTGAAAATACATATGATCTGAAGTTTCGTGTTTTGTTGTCTAACCTGCACGTAAATGAACAAAAAAGTAACAGTAACCCGGGTCTTATAAAACCAAGACTGTTATTTCTAAAGTTGTAATGAATACATAGCTTTTCTAATCTACCTTCATGGATCTTTCCGGCAAGCTCGGAAAACCGCGGCAACCTCGGATATGATTTCCGAGCTTGCCGAAAAGGCCCGAAGGTGCTCATTGGTTCTACTGACCTTTTATTTTTTCACCTCGAAATTGAAATTACAGTAAAATACAGAATGCTTAAAGCACAGTTAGGAGTTATGCCATTGCCGACCTGAAGCACACTCTTAGATTCACCATCCTGAATTGTGACACCCCCCCCCCCCCACAAACTCAACCCCCAGTGCATCAATCTGCCTTCCTATTAATAATCAATCGATTCAGCAAATTTAACAAATGGTTCAGATATCTTCTTCTGTATTTTATTATGCTACAGCGCTAGCTCACCAATCTTTTTAAAAGATAAGCTTGTACTATCAACACCGTGCGTTGTACATGTTGTACATGACATGTTGTCAGAAGTGAAAACGCAGTCGGTCAAAAATCCTCACCAATCGGAAGCATCCTGTATGGAATTTATGTGTAAAGTACTATAGTGAATGTTTGAAGTGATATTTTGTGTCATTTTTACAAGATGGCATCGGTTAAGGAACCAAATCCGAAGATGGCGTGGGAATCGCAGGACTAACCGAGTACGTTCAAGGCATTTAAAGCGCATTGTGAATTTATGTTTGGTGGACCTCTCAAAGGAAAATCGGAGGAACAACAATGTAATTACCTAATGTTATCGGTGGGAGAAAAAGGTAGGAACATTTTTTTTCGACTTGGAATTTGCAGGGAGATGATAAGAAAACTTTGAAAATTTATTTTTGACCGATTTGAATAGTATTGCAAGTCCAAATTTAATATGATATATGCACGTTACAAATTCAAGTGTCGTACTCAAGATGATGATGAAACTTTTAAACAGTTTTATACCGATTTGAAAGTATTGTTTAATGACCGTGACTATAGTCCTGATATTGAAGATGAGATGTTAAGAGATCACATTGTGTTTGCTGTGAAATCGAAGAAAGTTCGAGAAAAACTCATTAACGAAGGATCAGAACTGACACTACAGAAATGTACAGACATTGTTAGAACATTTGAGCTGTCTCAGAAGCAACTAAAAACTATGAATTCATCAGGGGAAGACCCTAATGTGAATATGATTGTGAAGAAGAAGCACAAGCAGCTAAACCTCGCACGTTGAAAGAGAAGAAGTGTTTCCGATGCGGATATGAACATTTCTACAAAGATAAATGTCCGGCTAAGGGACAGTTGTGTAATTTGTGTCACAAGCCTGACCATTTCGCAAGCATGTACATGTACAAGACAACAAGACAGTCTTATTCCCACAAACGCAGTAAAACAAAAGGATATCACGGACGCAAAAAGAAAGTAAACATGGTACAAGAAATATCAAATGAAGGAAGTGAAAGTGATGAAGAAAGTGATACATCTGCTGAAATGTTCATGGGCATGATACAGGAAGTGAACTGATCAGTGAACCTAGATTCAGACTGGACAGTAAACTGTAAAGTGAAAGACAAAAGTATAACAATGCATGTGGACACTGGAGCCAAATGTAATGTCGTTAGCCGAAATGTTCTACAACACCTGAAAGTCAACGAAAGTTCAGAGATCAAGAGCCGTATTGAAAAGTTTCAGTGGACATACAATGAAATCCACAGGATCAGTTGTGCTACCATGCATATCCTAGCAAGAAACCTTCAACATTCCGTTTGAAGTTGTTGACATCAAAACTCCAACAATACTCGGATCAGAATCAAGTCAACAGATAGGATTAGTTCAAAAGATGTTTAGAGTGTCACAGTCCGAAACACAGGCCTCAGAAAACCTAACTGAGCAGTCGATACACAAGAACTACTCAGATCTATTCGTTAATGTTGGCTGTTTACCTGGCAAACACAAGATACACCTAAAGGAAGATGAGTGTGCAACCAGTCGTCCATCCACCGAGATGTATATCCGTAGCACTCCGTCAAAAAGTGAAGGACAAGTTGAGGACCATGGAGAAAGACGAAATCATTGTTCGACAGATGGAGCCAACCGAGTGGGTCAACAGACTTGTAACAATCATTAAACCCAATGGTTCAGTGAGACTTTGTCTTGATCCTAGAGATCTCAACAAAGCGATAAGAAGACCTCATGATCATTATCCTATGATTAACATTGAGGAAATAGTCTCGCACATGCCAAACGCCAAGTACGTCTCCAAGTTGGACGCAATCTCAGGTTTTTGGCATATTCAGCTAGACGAAGACAGTTCCAAAGTTTGTACATTTAACTCACCACTGGGAAGATTCGGATTCTTAAGGATGCCGTTCGGTCTCAACTGTGCATCAGAAATATACCAAAGTGTGATGTCGCGATTGGTGGAAGATATAGATGTTGATGAAGTCATTGTGGACAATATTTTTGTGTGGGGTGAAACTCTCAAAGAACATGATGAAAGATTGAAGAAAGTCTTGGAACGGGCAAGAGACTATAATTTGAAATTTAGTTCCGAAAAATGTGAATTCCGCAAACAGGAAGTGACCTACGTTGGACATGTTCTCAGTAGTGAAGGACTCAAAGCAAATCCAGAGAAGATCCGAGCCGCGACAGAAATGACACCGCCGACTAACAGAAAGGACATAAGGAAGTTCATGGGATTCATTCAGTATCAAGCCAGGTTCCTTCCAAATTTGTCTCAGGAGTCGGCACCCTTATGACAGTTACTATCTAAGGAAATAGCATGGCACTGGGATGAAGACAATCAGAAAAGTTTCAAAAACTAAAGGAGATGGTTACAAATACTCCAGTTTTGACGTATTTTGACCCTGAGAAACCAGTATTACTTACCGTGGACAGCAGTTCAACAGGTCTCGGAGCAGCATTAATTCAGGATGGTAAACTACTAGCATTCAGATCCAGAGCGTTGACAACAACTCAGCAGAAATATTCGCAATTGGAAAAGCAAACCCTAGCTATAGTTTATGGCTGTCAAAAATTTCACCAGTACGTCTATGGCAGAAGGATTCAAGTTTTAACTGACCACAAACCTCTGAATCTTTATTCCGTAAACCCTTACATGACATTCCTGCTCGCCTGCAGAAAATGGTTCTTACATTACAATGTTACGACTTGGATGTAACATACAAACCTGGAAGAACTTTTATCGTTGCTGACCACTTATCCAGACACTACTTAAACGAGACTACAGAGAAGTTAGTGGACGAATTTTCTGTCAATGCTTTGTCATACTTACCTTTATCACCTGGAAAAATATGCAGAATTACAGAAATTCAGGATCTTGAGATGATGCTACTCAGCAAAGCTATTCTAGAAGGATGGCCAGAAAATCAACTTCCTGTGGAAATACGCACTTACTGGAATTACAGAGATGAACTTGCGTGCATAGATGGCTTAATCTACAAAGGTCTATAAGACTGGTGATACCACAAGCTTGTCGCAAAGAAATGTTAGAGAGGATACACGAATCTCATTTAGGCATTGTTAAATGCAAAGCGATGGTTCGTGAAGTAATGTTTTGGTCTTCTATGGGAAATCACATTGAAGATGTCATTTTCAAAAGCAGTATTTGTGCCACTCATCAGCGACAAAACCCAAGAGAAAGTCTTATTTCTCAGAAAATACCAGACAGACCTTGGTCTAAAATAGCCATGGATTTGTTTGAATTCGATGGACACCAGTATCTTATATCAGTGGACTTTTATTCAAAATGGCCAGAGATAGCAAAACTAGATCAGCCGAACTCAGGCTGTGTGATTCGTCATCTGAAGAGCCAACTCTCTAAATACGGCATACCAGACGAAGCCATCTCAGATCATGGACCCCAATTCGCAAGTGCGGAGTTTAGAAAATTTGTACATGATTATGAATTTCGTCATGTGACATCAAGTCCCCATTACCCACAATCTAATGGACAAGTGGAGCAGATGGTTCTGCTCGAAAAAGCAAAGGATCCTTACATGGCAATATTAGACTACAGGAACACACCTCTGGAAGAACTTGGATTATCACCAGCTCAGTTATTCCTAGCCAGACGACTCAGAACAAAGTTACCTGTATCAGCAACACTTTTAAAACTACAGAATGCTGAATTCGTCAAGGAGAGTCTAAAGACTCGCCAAGCCAGACAGAAAAGAAATTTTGATAAACATTTTCCAAAATCTGACTTGAAACCATTGATTCCTGGAGAGAAGATCATGGTCAGACACAACTATCAATGGATACATGGATTCGTTGCATAGAGACATGAATCACCACGTTCGTATGTCGTGCAAGCAACCAATGGCAAGAAGTACCGCAGAAACAGACGTGACTTGAAGCTGCAGAAGAGAGAGAGGAGGACAATCTAGAAATTCAGCTGTTCTTTGATCGCGAAGGTACAGTGTAGCATGGACGTTTGGATCGTGACAAAGTGGAACCTGAACAAATTAATGGGTAATATTTTAAATGCATGCAGAATTAAATTGTTTTCTTTGATATTGTGATCTAAAACTAATAAGACATAATATATTATAGTTAATGTTATTATTCAGTGGCGATGTCTTAAAAAATAAAGTATTATTTTATAAAATAATATAATTTTTTCATACGCATTTCGTTTCATTATTGTTTTATTAATTAGTGGCTCAGATTTGACTTGAAACAACTAAATTGAAATGGCTCAATGGAATTTCTTAGATATTGCATCAACAGCGTGATTATTGGACACATTTTTATATATTGAAAAATATTAACGCATGCTGTCTACAGTACATCTTTAAAAATGATATGCGATGTGCACTTGCCATTATTTGTGTTTTTTATCGTTCTAACGTTTCTCGTGCAATATGGCGACAGTGACCATAGATGTGAAAAAAGTTTACTTACAGGTCGCCAGTCTATGTTAGGAAAAAACTATACATGAAATAAACGTAAAATGTGAAATGTTTTGTTATTACAAGCTGGACATACCCGTCGTATAAATAAAGTCATCTACGTAGCATTATCTATATTTAGAGATGACTCTTCATGCGTCGTTGGTATTTAAATGTCCTTCTCGATCTAGGGAATAATCGCGAGTTTCTGCAACACCCTATCTCTAACTTAATTAATGAAGATTCCAATATTTTATATTCAATACTACCTAAAATTGACAACTAATACCAATATGCATCATTTCTAATTTAGATAAAAATTTCAGAAACAAAGCCCATAAACTTAATTGTAATGAAAATTTATAAACCAAATGTTACTTTACTATGCAGTGGACCTAGAACTTGTGTGCAAGATAGTACGAGTGTAATTGGTTTGACAGTTGATTTGCAAAACATATGGCTTATACATTCAGTCGCTGACTGGACGTTTCAGAAAGTATGGAAATAAGTAATAGGCTATTAATATCATGATGATTTAATACAATGCATCTGTATGATATTGTAAACACAATCACTCTGATATTGATATCAGAAAGATGCTGAAGTTCCTCATTGACAATATCTTTGTACCAGTAGTTTTTTGTCTTCTCACAATCTGTTGGAATATCTATAGGCTCAAATTATGCTCCTTTATTAGGCGATTGGTTATTTATTTATTTTTTTTATTTTATTTTTAATTTAAAAACTCCTACGTGAGAAAAGGGAAAATCTTGCTGTGGCCTTTAGATACACTGTTTACGTTTTATTCAATGAACAATGTTCATTTTCATATGTCTACTCTATATTTCCCAGTAATCTATAATAAAAACACCCTATAGTCCGACACAACTGCTTCATATTTGGAGTTTACTCGAAATACAGTGGCAAACTGACAGATAAACAATTTGACAAACGGCATGACTACAGCCATTTTTTGATCGTCAACTTCCCATTTCTACTTGTGTGTAGCAATATTCCATTATCGCCCGCATATGGTGCCTATGTTTCCCGATTGATTCGGTACGCAGTGTTCTGTGTACGATTGATTATTTTTAAGCCGAAGTTGGCTTCTAACAAGTAAACTGATATTACAGGGGTTTCAACAATCTCGTTTTAAGGTATGACGACGTTGCTCAAAGATCTGTTTCTTAATCTCTTCGTAATATGTAACAAATAAATCATAATTATCATTATATTGTGATTTTTAAACTATTTTCAAAATGTTCAAGAAGAAAAAGACGCCAAAAACGTCAAGATATTAGCAGTGATAATAATATATATGATTATATAGCAAATAAGATCCTCTGTATCTTGCTAAAATGCCTGGTAAGGTACCTTAAATTTTTGTGAGGAAACTTATTAAAGAAGCAATACTTCAATGACAAATTCTTCGAAAAAATATGTATTATTGAGGAACGTGTCGTCTGGTCTAAAGTCGGAATTGGTAGGGCGTTCGCTTAGTGACCGGGAGACCCGGGTTCGATTCTCGTTTGCTAAGACGTAAACATGGGTAGTGACTGTTTTTTCTTTCGCCAAGCTCCCGAAACTAGAAGTGAAAGTCATGGGTCCGTCGGATGAGACCTTAAAAACCGAGGTTCCGTGACCCGGTAGGCGTTGGCACGATAAAGAACCCTCACTGCTCAATGGCCCTCAGTGCCAAGTAAAGGTCTAAAATAGAAGCCTTTCACCGGTATATGATGATGTCTGTATATGAGTGAAAATTTTCGAATGTGACGTAAAACAACATACAATCAATCATCGTATCAAATAAATGTGTTGAAGGTTTATCTCTACATTATATTAATAAAAGATTCTTTGGGAAAAAAAACTTTAGTTATACTTTGATTTTATTTTGAAGACAATGAATGAGCTAGTATACATAATAGAAATCTTGAAGAAAAAAATAAAAATAAAACAAATTGCATATTTTCCCGAATAAGTAAATAAAGTCATTATACTTGGAAAACACAAATAAAATGTCTAATAGGTACTACTTGAGACAGCACATATTGGAATGTAAAAAAAAAAACTTATTCATGTAATGATTTATGGACAGCTAATTAAATTTTGTAGGTACGACGTACTATCTACTCTCCATCAACATGTGGTATTCGAATGCGCAACGTGTCCCCTGTTTTTGTTGCAGTTGTTCTGGAAATGTCAAACTCTTCTGGGATTTCGTACCCTTCTGAGAAATTACGGACACGAACCCAGGTGGCTTCGCTATACTGATGATCTCCCTTGACTGTGACGGTACGCCCACAAGCAGTGACATGAATCTCGTCCAGTTCAAACCCATGGACATTGATGAACAGATCCATGGCTTCACATTCATCCAGAAGCTCGTGAATACGTTCAGTTTTCTCATCAATATCTTCCAAATACTCCTCAAGCAGATCTTCCACAGATTTGGTCTCGTCATCATTCCCGTTATCATCATTATCATCATCGTCCTCATCATCATTATTATCATCATGTTGTATGCAACATTTTTCTAGTTCTTCACATTCTCGGTCCTCGTCATCTAAGCCGTTCTGATGGTGATGATGATGATGGTGAGGTTTCTTCTCATCGCAATTGTCAACATTGTAATGCTGATCTTCACCATGATGGTGATGATGATGATGGTCAGGGTGATGATGGTCGTCGTGGTGATAGTTACCATGATGATGGTCAGGGTGATGATGGTCGTCGTGGTGATAGTTACCATGATGATGGTCACGGTGATGATGGTCATCGTGGTGATAGTTTCCATGATGATGGTTCAGATGCTTCTCCTCAGTTGGACAAGGTTGCATATGACTTACATTCTCTAAGTTGCAGCAATTATTCGGATAAGAGCCCATACTTCTGTATCCCATGGCTTCGGCACAACAGATTTGTGGCATGGTTGATGAATAGATACCCATTGGAGAAAAAGCAGGCACCATAACCACCGGAAACCCCAGAGAAGACATAACAAAAGGAACGAATCCGGAATGCCCAATTCCCTGATATCTGCCGAGGGGGCGTGGACAGTAGGAGTTCATGTAGCCACAGCATGGAGAAGGTGAATGTCCAGAATGACAGTAAGGCTTTGCAGACTGGCGAGACGGGGGTCGTTTGCTTATTTCTGGCTCTTGTGGAAGAGGCGGCAGTTTCTGAAGAAATATGATGTTAAGTTTAACAAAATCAAACAAACAAACAAAAACAAGCAAAAAAAAAAAACGAACAAAGAAAACAAAATATATGTCAATTTATAGTTAATAGAAGTCTCAATCTAAAATCGCTCGAAAACTTTCAAATACAGGTACATTTAAAGCTTGTTTCTTTTTACTCTCTTGAAATCTTTGTAAATAAAACTTTGTCATGTAGGGATTTGAAATGCATTTAGTTTACATGACTCGTATATGTTTATCAGTTCTCACCGGAATATTGACGATGTCTATTCCTCTTTCAGTAATATCTTCTTTGACATTCTTGGCGTTGTCTCTGATATTCTCTGAATTTCCCTGTGGTTTTATCAAGGAGAGCAAAGACAATAATACCTGTAACTTGCGTGAAAAACATTTTGTGTATCTGCTATTTTGAGCAAAACAATCATTTCCACTCCATGTAAAACTTGGTAATATCAGTCTCAGTCTTAATATATATATATATATATATATATATATATATATATATATATATATATATATATATATATATATATATATATATATATATATATATATATATATATAATATATATATATATATATATATATATATATATATATATATATATATATATATATATATATATATATATATATATATATATATATATATATATATATATATATATATATATATATATATATATATATATATATATACCTACAAGTAGCTAGTAGGATGTTTTCACTTCAAAGATAATTTCGAAGTTTAAAACAAAACTAAATCAAAAATACAGCTATAGGTCTTTTAAAAATATATAAAAAGTAACAATGATTCTCACTGCATTGCCTTCGTCCAAATTAGCGACTTCATTCTCCTTGTCGGCATCCTGTTTTTGAAAAGTAAGAATCGCGATGAATGAAAGAGACGAATATTTCTAGTTTAGTTTATCAATAATGAAAAATAATTGATCTGTAAATACACCTTTACCGTTACAGAAAGATGATTTATTTAAAAAATAAAGATAAAAAAACAATTCAATATATGTATGTGTAACATGATATATTTTGCATACTTAAAGTTTCATTTCGAATTGCCCAAACGAATCCTACAATATGAGAAGAATACCTTGTCAATGGACAGAAATATAGGTATCTTTAAACAACAGGTGTTCTCCGCCGCTTCCCCCTCATCATCGCCGTCGTCGTCTTCCTTCTCTTCCTTTTGCTCATGTTCCTCACCATTGTCATCTTCATTTCTTTCCTTAGAGTCTTCCTGGTCCACGTCCTGAGAACTGACTTCGCTTTTTTCATCAACTACTTCTAACTTTGAGGTTTCGTCTATAAGTTCATCTTGTTTCTGAAGAAGTGCCATTTGGAGGGGGAAGGGGTTTTCTCCGAACTTCAGAAGAAATCTGCTACTTTTACTCAAGCAAGCAAACAATTACATTAAAAACAGAACAAGATTTGAAGTTCTGGACCGAAATTCACTTCCGGGGCCCTTCTCAGGATGAATTTTTATGAAGTTATAGCTGCCTTTTGTTAAAGTGATTCAAAATCGATTTGACAATATTTGTTCAGTCCATTTTCATTATATCAACGTTGAGAGGAATATTATAGCGTATTAGATTTTTTTTTTTTTCAATTCTTCTATTTGTCATTATTAATTACACCCTGTGGTGGACAACTTAACAGGAAATGTAACATGTTTATTTAATAATATTTGTGCGTAAACAAAAAGATGCTTCCGTTGTCTGTGTAAATGTATATTGTCAAGGTATATTTTATGTGTATGTGTACTAGTATTTAAACATAAAGTGCAATTTGAAAAACTAACAGTATAAATCTGCAGATAGAACTAGCAATTAACTTGTTTTTAAAAATACATGTATGCTTAGATTTATTTTTCTTGTACTTATCATAAGAAAAAGGAAATAACACTCATTTTTAAAAACAAAAATGTGTGTAATATAATATATTTTTAATGTATAATGTTTTATAATAATATTTTATAATCTATTTTTGATTTTGTCATTTAAGTTGAAAATTGATTTATGTATGATCAAAAAATACCTTTTTCAAGAAAAATTTCTTTCAACGGGAATATTGAGTCGCATTCCATCAGTATGTTTATTTAAACAGAGCTGACCACACGTAAAACACGACCTATAAATAGAAGAAAGTTGCTGATCGACAGAACCTTAGGGTTTATTATAAAGTATTTTTTTTTAAAAATTATTCACAATGTTATTTCTGTTTACAGCTCGCACATTTTTTTTTTAATTCTGTATAAAATTTAGTTGTTTTCCATGTCGTCAAACTTCATTTTAACTATTTTCCCTTTTTTCCATAAGATTTTATAATAATCAATATAACTTTTGCTAGTATTTTTCTCTTTCGAGTATCATGGTTCAAGAGATGTATAAATGGTGAAATTGGGGGGAAAAAACATGTTTTCTGCATTTTGCGCTTTTAAGATAAATTGTTTTTGTACCGGTATATATTTTGCTAAAGTTGTGCTTTTAAGGTAACTCATTCATCTGAGCATACACATGATCTACAATATTTGTGGACGTGCTGTTTAAAGAGACGTAACTCTGGTATTCCTATCCATGCGACATTTTCCTCTCTAGGCGATTCATCTCTCTCTCTCTCTCTCTCTCTCTCTCTCTCTCTCTCTCTCTCTCTGAACGAAAATTACTGAACGAAATACTTTCAGGATAATTTCCAACACCTGAACAAAAGCTTAAATTTTATTGAAAAATTATTAACATCATTTTTTATCCTGTTTTTGATACCAGTTTTATTTTCAAAGCCACTAAAATTGACACGATTTTCTAAGGTAAGGGCATTGATGTAAAATTAACAAGCATTTTATTTTTGAAAAATACTAATAATAATACTCAACTTTATTTCATATAGTTTACTACAGTGTCGATGAAATACTTTGATTTACAAAAGTGAATACTATGATTAACTATAGTATAAACATTTATATTTATACTTTGATTATTATATAGTACAAAATTTGATGATTTTATTTTGACAAATACCATTGAACTTAAATTTATCATATGATATTAAACAATATTAAATATTGTTTGAATTAAACTACATTCAGTTTATTTTAGTAAATTTTAGTTTACTACAGCGTCAAAATAACTGTAGTAAAAACATTGACTTACTTTTAGCGAATTTTCTAAAGGTGTGTTTGACATTTTAGCGGGAACTTGAGTGGACATTTTGGCGGAAGAAAAAAAATGGTTACCCTTAAAAATTCAATCAAAGTCAGCAGAAAATTGATCAATGGTCAGCAAAACTCGCTATAACACATACATATTCATACAAGCAAACAAATGCTTGTATACATGTTCATCGATATCTGTAATTGGAATACTGAACAGTAATATTAATGGTAGTCTTGAATATTGAAAGAGAATCATTTTTGACGGGTTACAGTATAAAGTTGAAGGATTGCTAAAACCTTATAAGGTTCATGGAGATGTCTATGAAACACTCTAAATCTCGTTTCCGATCTTATAGTTTAAAGAAATAACTGTATTCACTATTAAGATTACATGTAAATATTGATATCTTTCTCAAAATTCTACTTCCGCCTCCACGTTGGTTAGAAGGGGCAACAGACTTTGCCTGGCTAATAGAAGAGACATATGTATGATTGATTATTTATTTATTTATAATTTGACTCAACCCTCCCGCTAAAATATCCATATCCTATTTTAAATTCCGTTTAAACGTCGCAAATTTTCTGCTATTTTCCCCCGCTAAAACGCCCTGTCAATCCGCTAAAATATTTTACTACAGGTAAAATTTTGGTTTACTATAGTTAATTAAGATTTTGTATATATTTTAGTTTATTATGGTATACTTTAATATTTTTTTCTGTGAATTTTTCTAAAGAAAAGGACAAAACGAAATACTGTTGGGATGATTAAAACATTAAATTTATCATTACAGTAACGTTTCTGTACGAATATCTGTTCAAATCTTATCACGACCATCAAAGCTTCACTCCGCAATTTTTATACACAAGATTTGTCTACTATCAAAATGTTTTCGAATGTAAGCGTTGATTGATATCAATTTTGTATAAACATCTCATAAACGATTACTTTTAAACGTATGCTAGCTCATTGAATTGTAAAGGGAGTTTGTTGTGTGGCTGGGATTAAGTTTTTAGGCCCCGGATTGTGTTTTTCCGGATATCTCTTTGCACTCTAGAACATGATGTTACCTGCACTTTAATCTTTGTGTCTTGTTATGTGCTTTCCTTAGCCATTTCAATGAATATTCTAACCAACCCTGTATCATCTAACGAGGATAAGCCAGTGACTAAAAAAAAACCGAAGATCATTTTCCTTTATAGTACAAAAATATAACGTAATACTATTCTTTCGTAGTCTTTTTTCTATATATAAAAAAAAAAGACGAACACACGAAAAAATATATATTAAGTATAATATATCTAAATATCATTTAGGTTCATAGAACTGACACTTGTGAATTTACACTTGCTGTGCACTATCTTTATTTGACTTCTCCAATAATAAAAAAAAAAAATCTTTCTTCAGTTAATGTGTCTATCATGAACAGTTAGAAACATCGAATGGGTGAATACTAAATAATACTTTTAGAGTGTTTTAGATGAATATTATTTTCGGTGTTAAGGTAAAATTCTGGGAATTCTTGGGATTTATCTTGTATCAACTTGCATGCGTCATTACTAGAAATTAACTTTCGAGTTATTTACAAAATGTCAATCATTGATCGTTATTGTTTAACGAACAGGGGTTTTTCTTATCATGATTTAATTAGATTTTAAGGTAACCAACTTAAGATATCGTTTACAATGTTATCAAAAAATATCGCGTGTAAATTGAACAGTTTTCCAAATGCGCTTCTTGCCAAAATTGAACAAAAGATTTGCCCATCATTTACTAATTTTTCAAAGCCCTCGTACTCGAAGAACAAATAAATCATATTCCCAAACAAATACTGAATAAAGCAGGGGCTTTACTCCTTTCTTGTGAGGCTTGATAAGGTCCCGTGCCTGGGTTTCTACGAGTCTGCTAATCTACTAGCTGGCTCACCACTAATACCTCGAGGAATTGTAAACGTTATTTCCTTAAATGAAAAATCGTTTTTTCTTAACTGTCAGAAACGTTTTCAAATGCCTGTGTAACAGTTTTGTCACCATGCAAGATATTCTTCTACAAAGAATGGACCACAATGGCGCCTAGTGCTTCCCAGGTTTCTCAAAGTAAGTAGAAATGATATATAACCTTTTCAGATCGGGATCGACAAACATGTAAGAGTTCCCTCTTTCGTTGTCATAGCGATATATCCTCTTGTTTCTGATGTTTGTCTCTGATCTTCGTGTGTTATTTTATAATTTTTCTGACGATATGCAGACTTATATCCACCTGTATCTGATAATTACTCCGAGTTTATGTCTCTTCAAAACGTGTGAGAAAACACTCAAACATCATAAGAACTTGAGTGAAATTCCTGGCGCGCTTCGAGAAGATTTATTTTATCCTTTTCCGATAAATATTTGTGCATGTTTTATAAAATAAAATATACTTAAAATCAACAAAGCACACCCCAGCTGTGGGATAGCTATCGTCGCCATTCTCATTGTCGTCCCCTAATTGGTGTGATGCAAAAGTAATTGTATTCAATTTAGATGACTGATCCCACTTTGTAAATTCACACATGAAGTATATATATAACAACACTTCAAATTAATAAATATGAACTTAAGCGTTGTCATATACACTTTTCAGAAAAAGGAATTCATTTAAAAAAAAACACTCAAGCGACATGATAATAAGACTGCTAATTTATACAGTTATTAGGAATATACATGTACTACATGTATACAGAAATTAAGATCAATACTGAATATTAAAGATGAAGTAATTTGTTATGGGAAGCATTAATTCAAGTCTGTCTGTCATAAAACCTTACTAGATTATTATGTAAAAAAATTGGTATACAAGTCAACAAACTGATATGTCTTTGTAAAAGTTGTGATATGTATTATTGTAACATTTCATGATTTGTACCTTGATCTTGAAGAGAACTAATACAGGCCAAAATTTTTGCCTGCTGTTTAATCCAAATTCATTGTATATACTTCTATGAACATGTATATCGTGAATAAAATACTTCTTAAACTAACAAACTTATATTGATGGCAAATTATGCACAAATGTGAAACTCAAACAAAATTGGGGTTATGAGAATTATTTATCAGTAGCTAAAAATTTTTCATCACAGAAAATCTGTATGTAATTTAAGAATTTCCTGTCACAGGTTGCAAATTGAAGTGGGAAGATTTACCAACATTCC